TGTTTCAGAAATGTTGATTTGTCTCACTAAAGGTGAGAGGATATCTGGCCAAAATGCTAATTAACAGCCACTTGAACTTGCCTTGAACTTTGAACAAGCTTGATTGTTGGTGATGGTGGACTACACATCGATAAAAGATAAAGGGTATGGCTAGAGATGTCAGGAACCACTTTACTATAATTTTAAATACAGGAGTTTAGAATAGGATCTAGAAGTTTAATAGAATATGAAAATCTACTGAAGATTATTCAGCTCTCCTACTTTGTCTTTTTCTACATATAGTTTTATTAGCACATACAAACCAATACTCCAAATCCTGTCTCCAAATCTCCTTCCTTGACTCAATTCCACACAGAAGTGGGATGGCTTCCTGTTCTGGAACATGTCCTGGTAGGCTCCTGGACTTCCATAGGAGTGCATAAGCCATGCCCCATGGCTTACTTGAGTATTAAAAGAAAGGCATTTACCATTCATTTGAAATAAAAAAAAAAAAACTTTGCACTTTAGATTTGCAACCAATAGTATAACCTCAAATTCTCTGATGGTTTAGGATACTGAATTTTCAGTTCTAAGAAATTATGTTAATGAAGATTTTTTTGAAGATTTTTAAAGAATGATCAATTCACCAATTCACCCAATCTCTAGATACATAAAATGGTATCCTTGGACCATGTCTATACACCAGAGATAGATGCTTGTAGAATTAGTTGCCTTATTCATTATTAGGTTGCTATTATGTTGTGTGCCCACACATTTTTTTTTCATGATATAAATTTCTTCAGTGATCCCAGTTGCCTAATTATCAGCTTTAATAGCTCCTACTATTGGAAAGGAGGTAAGAGAAGATGGAGAAAAATTTAAGTTTTAATATGAACTAAAATTCTTTTGAATCACAGCAGAAGGAGATAAGATGTAAAATAAATCTCAATGAAAAGAAGTAACAACTAATAAAATTGTTTTGTTTTGCAAACCTCTTCACTTAGAGGTGCTGATAAAATGTGAAGTGACAACAAGCAAATAATTGATTGTGGCTGCATTAGGTAAAGATTTCCAGAGCAAAAATAACATCACTGAAATATATTTGTTCATTCTAGATGGTAACCTGCTGCTCCTTCAATGCTAGTCTGCTTTGGCAAGAATGTCTCCAGCTGAAACCTTTTGTTTCCTGAACATTCTGGTATGGTCAAAACGTATGCCAGGTAACTAATGAGGAATTGCAAACTGAATACATAAAATGGAGGCTAAGTAAGGAAAAATCTGAGTGCCATCAATTGGACAGGAAATTTTTCTTATACAGATATAACCATGCATTAAAACTAAAAAAGAATTCCATGAGGTTTTTAATTTATAAAATTGTATTTCTGCTCTCTAGAGCCATGTTTCACATTTGTAATAATATAACATTCTCCCTGCTTACTTCAGAAAAGGCACTGAATGTGGCAGATGCTCAGAAACTAGGGACCATGACAGTGTCATTATGGTTTCTCTCAGATTAACATGGGAAAATCACTACTGCTTTTATCCCCCGCTATGAAATAATATTTGTGCTCTTGTTCTGTTTATCTTTATGGTTTTATTCATTATATCTTAACTTATATTTATATTTAAGGTAATAGTTAAGGAGTGATAGATAAGCAACTGTATTGGTTAAGTAATAAAATAGTTTAGCTCCTATAAAAGTCTAGAGATTTTTAAAAATCTGTATCTCAGAATATTTTCTTTACTGATCACAGAGTAGAATGTGCTTTGGCTTACAGAAAATATACTGGTTAATCTGTTAAAGTGTCTTATGAAATCCATCTTTTACTTACGGAGATTTTTTTTAAAGATTTTATTTATTTATTTGAGAGAAAGTGAACAAGAGAGAGAGCACAAGCAGAGGTAGCACCAGGCAGAGGGAGAGGGAGAAGCAGGCTCCCCAGTGAACAGGGAACCCGATGCAGGAGTCAATCCCAGGACCCTGGGATCATGACCTGAGCCAAAGACAGATACTTAACTGACTGAGCCATCCAGGCGCCCATATAAACCAATTCTTAAAAATTCCTGAAAGCATAGCTTCTTAATTGAATAAACTAAATATATGAATTATTTTTAAAATTGAGAGGAAACACTAGTTACCTGCAACTGATTAAGAACAGGTATATCATATACAATAAATATTAGGAAATGTCCAGGAAAACACCTCCCTCTTGCAGCTAAAAAAATAAAATTATTTTATTTTTAACTCAATATTTATTTGAAAAACAATGTGTTATTGTTTCCCTGGATTCCTTCTGTGATTAAATTTGTTAACACTATGCACTTAATTGCTTAGTTTTACCTCTTACTGGATAACTCTCAGACCCAACTCATCCCATGTCTTTCCTACATGTCTACAAGATATATAAAGTCAGTGCAAATATTTCTAAAGAGTTCTATATACTTAGGTAACTAAATTGCCCAGTGGTAACAATTAAAGTAATATGTCATCTTTTGCATGACCCTTGAAATGGGACCTCTCAAATGACTCCAAGATTCAATTGACTCTCAAATGCATGCTCCCTGCAATCCACCACTGCTCTTTTGGTTTCATAGTATTCAGTCTTACTGTTTTCCTCCAAGACATACAACTGTCAGGATCTCTGTCAGGATCTCCCACTTTCCCATAGTAATCTCTGTACCAGACAATTCTCAGCCAGTCCTCTTGATATTTTAGTACAGGTCCTTTGAATCTCTTTATGCAATCTAGAGTCTCTTGTCACCCCCACATCTCTCACCACAACAAAGCCATGTAATATTAAGATGAAAAGCAATCCACTCAGTCCCTATATAAACTAATAGGTATAGATAAACAGTTTGAGAAAGGACTCACCCAACAGCACTCACCTCCGCTGGGACCTTCTCCTATCTCCATTTAAACACCTTGACTTTTATAGGTGTCAGTTCACCTTTACAATAGCAACAGAAAGTAAGATAGATGAAGCACCTGGGGGTGGGGGGGGGCTCAGCCAGTTAAGTGTACAACTCCCAATTTTGGCTCAGGTCATGAGAATAAGGCCTGCATCTGGCTCCATGCTCAGCACTGAGTCTGCTTGAGATTCTCTCTCCCTCTCTCTCTACCCTTCTCCCAACTACTCTCACTCTCCCCCCCCCGCAAAAGAAATAAATTAAATCTTAAAAAAAATAAGCATAGCTCTCAACAAATATGTAACATGGACCATAAGAAAAGAGAAACATTGGGATGCCTGGGTGGCTCAGCGGTTGGGCGCCTCCCTTCAGCTCAGGTCTTGATCCTGGTATCCGGGATCAAGTCCCCCATCGGGCTTCCTGCAAGGAGCCTGCTTCTCCCTCTGCCTATGCTCTGCCTCTCTCTCTCTCTCTCTCTCTTTGTGTCTCTCATGAATAAATAAATCTTAAAAAGAGAGAGAGAGAGAGAAACATTAACTGCCAGGCACTTGGACACATTTTATTAGTCTTCATCACAACTATAAAGGGAGTAAATTATTTCATCCTACTCTACACAGAGATTCAAATAAATTCATATAAATACCAGAACCAGGGATGAAAGCTATGAGCTCTAACACCAAATCTGAAGGATTTACCTGCGACAAATGTTCAGGAAACTTCCTAACATGGTGAAGACAAGAACATGGAGAGCGTTGACCTGGGGAGGGGACTATCATTTTTTTCTCTCCATGTGCCCGTGCCATTTAAGGAGCAACTTCTTTGTGCTGAATGCTTTATGAATGGTTCATCTCTTCCAACTAACGATGCACTGAAGTATGTGTCACTCCCCTGGTGATATTTTTTCCTCTTTAGCCTGAATCAGCTTACATTTCACAAACAACAATAAAAGCAACAACAGCAACAACAACAACACACACACATATATACACACACACCCCTGGAGCTAGCCATGTGGAATTCCTGTGTTTTTATGTGGGATACATAAGGTGGGTGACTACAGAGAAGAAACACTTCTCTCTTTAGTGGCACTGAGCACATAATGCCACATTATAGGTAAATGCATATAGAAAACAGAAAAGGTATGTATACAAAGGAATATTCCTCAGCCATTAGAAACGACAAATACCCACCATTTGCTTCGACATGGATGGAACTGGAGGGTATTATGCTGAGTGAAATAAGTCAATCCGAGAAGGACAAACATTATATGGTCTCATTCATTTGGGGAATATAAAAAATAGTGAAAGGGAATAAAGGGGAAAGGAGAAAAAAATAAGTGGGAAATATCAGAAAGGGAGACAGAACATGAGAGACTCCTAACTCTGGGAAACGAACTAGGGGTGGTGGAAGGGGAGGTGGGCAGGGGGTTGGGTGACTGGGTGATGGGCACTGAGGGGGGCACTTGACGGGATGAGCACTGGGTGTTATTCTGTATGTTGGCAAATTGAGCACCAATAAAAAATAAATTCATAAAAAAAGGAACAACTGGTTTGAGAGTAAAAAAAAAAAAAAGAAAAGAAATAAAAAGAAAAGAAAACAGAAAAGGTGTCACTGGAGTCAATGCATCCATAGGTTAAAGACGCCTTTGTGTGGCATAAATCACAACAGTTAAAATGTACTACAGGTTAAGCTTCCTAAATGGAGACTTCACAATTACCAGAGTGTTCACACGGGAACACAGTGCATATGCAAACAAGTCCAGGTTGTTTCTTAATTTTATCAAAGTACCTTTATGCTGCTTTGGGGTTTTATTATAGATAGCTCCTAATATGCTACAAATTAGCACTCTCAACTTGAAGTAAAACCAGAGGAAGTAAAACAAAATTATGTGAGGGCTGGGATTGATATTGATAAGTAGCAGGAGTTCTGCTTGCTAAAATGTATATGAAACAGAAGGGGAAAGATTTGGGTGGGTAATAAATCATGTGTTCTAGACAGGGGCGTGTTGGTGAGTAAAATCAGTGGATGATATGATGAGTAGGACTGACATTTCAACTTGTCATTTTAAAAAGAGACATCATCTTACATTTCTAGATATATATTTGAATACTCACCTGTTCCGAGGAAGAATTTCCAAGCAGAATTACTCTTCTCTGAACATATCTTTCAGACGCCTCACTGTAGGCAGGGGTGGCTTTGCTGCCCTCTTTATGGGGTTCAGGTCTCTTTCTGGAACCCACTGCCTCTTCAGAATCCATCTCCTTGAAGCTCTCATCTATTTATCCCAAAAAGACAGAACAAAATGTGACTTGCTCTTTGTCACTCTGACATTAGCTTAACTAACACACAGTAACCTAACCCCCCCTTTTTTTTTTCTAATAGGGGATAAAGCTTGGTTTTCCATAATCTACAGTTCAGCAAATTATTTTCTATTTAACGTACTAGGAAATTGCTAAGGCCCAGAACAAGTTTTAAGATTAAAACACCAGCCCAACACCAACAACTTTTATTCTTCCTGCCATGTTCACAAAGCAAGTAAAGTACAGGCTCTGCATTAAGGCCTTTTTCCCACTTATCAAATACATCCCGAAGTGTAGGTACTCTGGTTTCTGTACGTTAATATTACATGCTGTTTATGTCAACATCTTACCATTTGCTCACCATTTTTTTCTGAAACCAACTTGGGAGATGAATAGGTGTAGGAGAAGCCAGAGCACTCGGGTTCATTTTCAAGTTAGGATCTCTGAGAACAGTTCCTGAGCTTTGCAAACACAGAGAGACTTTATTTGGGCTGCCTTGTTGTTTGCATAGAGATGCCTGCATTTATTTAAACGGTATGTGTGTACTTTCGTTCTCCCTCTATCACCTGAAAACAGTATCACCTACAAAATGCATCTATTCATCGAGCTAGAGGTACACTGTAAATATAAAATACTCCTCTCTCTTCCAGACTTGGAAAAAAAAACGCTGGAAGATAAAATATGGACTTTTCCATGCCTCCGAAGTTAGAATTTTAACAAAAACCTGGACACTTTTAACCAAAGGAAGAGAGCTTGGTTTTCCAGAAGGACAGGAGGTGAAGGTACTGGGAAAGATCACCCGGCTGCAGTGTCCAGAGGACCGCTGGCCTTCCTTCTTTGTTCACCGGTTCACCATATTACCTTGCATGTTTTTAAACTTTCTAAGTCTCAGTAGATCCCCGTGTACAATATAGCTGGTAAAGTGCCTGATTATTCATTCTTCAAATGCCATAAGACTTTTGAAAGCTCACAAATGATTTCGTAAACCTATCAGGTGCCACCTGTAAATGTGTACCTGGATGGTTTCCAGGATCCAAGCTGCAAAGACATGTCAGAACGGAAGGGACATAATAGGTATAAAAATGCATTGCTCAATGCCTAGCACACACAGAAAAGATATTCAATATGTGTTTGCTGACTCACAGATTAGAATAAAAATATGGAGATCTCACTATCTTAAACCTAACCATTTGTGATAACTCGATTTTATGTGTCTGCATGGCTAGGCTGTTGTGCCTAGTTATTTGTTCAAACACCAGTCTAGATGTTGCCATCAAAGGTAATTCTTAGATGTGACTAACATTTATATCAGTAGACTGTGAGCAAAGTAGATCCCCCTTTATGATATCAGTGGGCTTCATCCAGCCATTTGAAAGCTTTAAGAGTAAAGATTAGGGTTTCTCCTCAGAAGAGAAAAAATGGAGTCTCAAGACTGCAACATTATTTCATATTGAGTCTCCAGTCTGCTGCCCTGTGGAATTGTGACTCAAGACTTCAACTCTTGCCTGAATTTTATATCAACTCTTACCTGAATCTCCACCCTACCACTATGTCCTAAGGATTTCAGACTTGCCAGCCCCCGTAAATCTCTCTCTCTTTCTATTGGTTCTATTGGATTCTGCTTCTCTTGGGGAAACCTAATTCTTCATTCAAGTGAGGATCCCTCAAAATGAGGGATCAAGTTGTCCTGAAAACTGAGTCTGTTGGGTTTATAAAGACAAAAAATAAATAAAAAGTTATAAAAATTCACAATAAAAAATAAACAGATAAATAAAAAAAGCTAAGGGGAGATGTATCTAGACAAGACTAAAATTTTTCAGGGATACTATTCTGTAAATAAGAATGAAGAAGGCAGCCTAACTTTCAGGATTGTTAAGAGGTTTAAGTAAGTTCATATTTACCATATTTAGAATTGAACAGTGCCTAGCACAGTGCCAGGCTCCTAGTCAGCACTCAGGAAATGTTAGCTGGTGTGAATCTTTTCATCATCATCAATTATCTTCATTATTCTTTTTATGTAATTATTGTGTCTGCCTATGTAATAACGAATAATTTAATTCCCATAACTACTCCATTGTGGCAGGGGCCTTACGTCCTTTTGGCAAAAATGGCAAAGAAAGGTTAAGAAGTTGGCCTAATGTGACACAGTTAAAAATGATGAAGAGTATAAATTCAATAGAAAAAAAAAACTAAAACATAGAGGACAGAATCATAATCCTGGTCTCCTCACAAGTATTTTAAGGAATTATTTAAATAAGAAATAGAAAATGATCATTTGAGAAGAACTAAGCACACACTGAGGGGAGAAATAACCTTAATAGAATGATTCCCCATGAATTTAAATACATGTGGGTGCAACAATTTATGCTTAATGCTTTGATAAAATCCCCAGTGTGTTCTGGCATGAATTTATATGTGTTAACCTAAGAATTTAGATTTTAGTTTTTAAGGGATTACCTTTAAATTCCCAGATTAATACACATGAGAATTACTTAGTTTAAGAGCCTAAAATTCATAAGTATGAATTCCCATGCTAAGATTGAAAACAGTATACTGCCTGTCTTCTATCACCCAAAGTATTTATTTAAAAGCTAAAACACACTCTTTAAAAAGTGCGGCATAAAAAAAAAAGCGGCATATAGCACCATATCAGAGAATCCAAATATGTCATATCCTACTGTAAAATCCTGCAATAGCAAGTAAATCATTTTTGCTATCTAGGGTTATAAGTTCTATCCAATTCTAGAAAATTCGGCCATAAATACCTTCCCCCCAAATTTAGTTATATTTAAGTATTTGCAACCTTCAAAAACAGGTCATCAGTGAGTGGTTATATTTAGAAAACACAGATCAGCATTTGAAGGAAAACATCTTAACAAATTTATAATTAATGTTAATATAAAAGATTGAAAAAAATTATTCTCTTATCATGGGCTTCTGCGTGTTCACTCTTGTCAAACAGCCTCATTAATCCATTAGAGAAAATTCTATTATCAACTTGTAGCGGTGCTAAAAGAACATATTTATGATAACTTTCTCATCAGTTAATTTATAAATATGCAAATTGAATTACAGAAAGAAATTTTTAATCATCATGGCTCTTTAGTTATTTTATAGGTCGTAGGCACAAATTCTATTCAATATGCTATCTTGCTCTGATAGTAAAAAAAAACCCTTTTATAAATCAATGATAACTGGAACAATGACTTTTAGATGTATATTGCAAGGTATTCATAATAGGACACTTCTTCTCCAATAAAAATGATCTAATATTCAATAGATTGTGACATGCACTATACAAAAATCATTTCAGAATAAGCCATTATGGTTTGTCAAATCATACAACAGAAGATACGAGCAACATGAATGAGTGTTTTCCACTAACTATCCTCTGTATATCCTATTTCTTACTGCATATATGTAAGAAACAGCAAACTTAGGTGGCATTAGGTGGTCTTACATTCCTGTATATATGCTACTGCAATATAATAGCAAATACATGTGCTATTTAGTTCTTTTGTGAATTTAAAGTAACAAGGTCATGTCATTAAAAAAGCAAAACCAGCCAACCAACCAACCAAATAAAAAAATATGTGATCATAAAAACATGGTTCTGGAAGAGTTTAAAGAGTCATCTAGGTAGATCTGCCACTGGATGGAAAGGAACATAAATTATGCAAATTTGAATGACCACCCTAGTCTTAGAATTAGAATATACATTTATCAAACATGATCCCCTTCCTCTGGAAGGCAAGTGAACTAGCTAAACTGTGGTTGTACTCTTACAATGGTAATTTTTAATATATCCCAAGTGTTTCTACTACTTCTCACTTCTCACTACTTCTCACCGTGGGTGAGCCAACTCTGAAGATGGTTGCTAATTCTGCAACTCATATCTGAAACTCCACCAGCAAGTGTTCTAGAAAAGCCTTGAGGAATCTTCGCTCTCCAAGAGAGAAGCTCCTGAGAATTCTAGGTCTCCCCTTACCATCCACTCCTATGATCTCTTTAACATCAGTGTTGGAAAGAAATTCAATGTAGCCTGTGCTCAGGGACTTGGGATGACTATTCAGGAAAGCCTATGCTGCTGGAGCCAGATAGAATGTCTTAAAGTGCAACATAAAAAGGGCTTTGAAGTTAGCTTCTGCTCACTGAACCCTGAAGGTGACTTTCTCAAGTATCAGTTGACCTACAAATGTTCTTTTACTGCCAAGAGCCCGCACAAACCTCCTATGATGCCAACATTTGGGGAAAAGGGAGAGGGGCCATTCCTGGAAGACATTTTGCAGTTTGTGCATTGTATTCCAACATTGCCTGGAACTTGATAGCTCTTCCAGAGAACAGCTACAAGACTTACAAAGCTGATACATGGCTCATAAAAGAATCTTACTTGGAGGTTAACAATGAGCAATAGCAGATGCATAGACGGGGAGATCTCTGCAGATGTAACAAAAGCCTTACTGTAAGGACTAGGTAATCCTGACAGACCAGTGAGGGTCACAGAAAAAAATAAATGAACATACATTTTGCATGCCAAAACAAACAGATAGACAAAGGGTAAATGGGATTGATACAGAGACACCATCTTCAGAGAGGGGCAACCTACATCCAAATCCCAGCTCTACTACTTACTAGTTCTGTAATCTTGGGGAAGCTTCTTAGAGTCTTGATAGAGTTTGAATCTCCTGGTCCCAAAATTGGAATGGAAGTTAGGGTTAGGAAGATAACACACACCAAAGCACCTTGCTTCATGCCGGTCATTTGGTAGGGACTCAGCAAAAGGTAGCCACTCCCATTTCCTTGTTTGTTTGTTGTTAACTACTTAGTAATTGTATGAAGTGCATAACTTTTCAATAGTTTAGGTTCTGTCATTTGAACTAGTGTTTTTGTTTTCATTATGAAGTAATGAACTGTAGACAGCTTCTGGGTGTTGTAGGAGAGAAACCTGAAAAACAGACACCACACTGATAATTGCTATAGAGGTTCTAGCTCCTTTGGTAGGCAGACCTGGTGAGAAACTCCCTCCATGGTGCCCCAGTAAGACCCTGGAGGGTCAAATGGGTTCTATGAGACAGAAACTGAAGGCAAGAGAATGTCCCCCTCAAATTCAATGCCAACAATTTGAATCAATCTGCTTACTTTTCCCTTCGGAAGTTTTCTGCAAAGGGAAAAGTGAGGAAGGCCAACAGGACAAAGGAAACTTCTGAGGGGAAAGAGAACAGACAGCACCAAAGATAGGGATCTGGTTTTCACTCCACACTTGCCAGATCTCTGTGAGCTTAAGAAAGATACTAAATCTTGCTTAGCTTGTTTCATTACCTTAAAAATAGAAATAATGGCAGCTACTTTGGACAGTTTTGCACTGGTTGGCCAGAGCTGCCATGTCGAGCTGAAGGCACCCCTTGAGCACCGAGGAAGTAATAATAACTCATGTGTACAGAAGGCTCACCATGTTTGGGATATTATGCTTCGCACTTCCCATCCATTTCATCATTAATGCATAACTCAACAAAGACTTCTCAAGTCAAACTCATGCTCTAGCCAACAACTGTGCTAAACTTTAAAAATTCATCAGTGAACAAGGTAAGCAGAATCTCTGCCCTCTTCATGTTAAGGAGACGGTCTAGTAGGGAAGAAACACACTTCACAGATAACCTCACTAATAAATAGTGAGTTAGTCACAAGAGTGGAGAATTGACATTTAAGCTGAACCTTCCAGAAGAGATTACAATGGCCAGTAAGGAAGTTGTCCCAGCATCTATGAGCGTTCAGTATACAGAAGGAGCTCCATGCATATAAAGACAAAAGGAAGCCCGTGTGGCCAGAGCATGGTGAGCAAGTGCAGGGGACTTGAGATGAGGAAGGACAGTAGATTGGTCTTTATCCTGAAAGCAACAGGCAACAGTAAGAGAGCCTCAATGAGGGGTGAGCAAGATGCCGCGTGGACAACAGACTAACGCAAAAGAAGAATGGATGTGGACAAAAATAGTCCCACAATTCCAGGCAGGAGCTGGTGCTCACTTGAGACTGAGTAGGAACAGCAGAGATGCTGAGAGGCAACAGAATAAGATCTCATATATCTGGTGATTTCCATGACAGCACATAAATATTAGGCATCCTATAGGAGTCAAACATTATGCTAGAGTCTGAGGACATTTAAGGTTTAGTGGAAAAGAAAGCTGCTAAAGAAATAAGCATAGCGATAAATCTGAAACTAATAACTAAGATGCATGCCAACAGGAAACAACAGAGTGATAAGAGAAAAACAGCAGAATTACAGTCTGGTTATCAAGGAAACACATTTAGTAGGTCAAATCCACAGGCCTCAATGCTTCATAAGGTGTTATTTTGAATTAATTTGTTATTATTAAATACAACAGGTGATGGTTAACTTGATGTGTCAACTGGGCTAGGCTGTGGTACCTAGTGGTTTGACCAAACATCAGTCTAGATACTGCTGTGATGGTATTTTTTAGATGCGACTGGCATTTACACTAGGACACTCTGGGTAAAGCAAATCTATACAATGCGGGTGGGCCACATCCAATCAGTTGAAGGCATAAGAAAAAATGCAGGTTTCCCAAAGAAGTGATTCTCCTCTACACTGAAATATAGAAATTACACCTCCACCTCCAAACTGTTGCCCTGCCGAATTCAGTCTCAAGACTACATATCAATGCTTGCCTGAATTTCACATCAAGTGTTACCTGACTCTCTACCCTACCAGGCTGCCCTACAGATAGTCCCCACAATCACATTAACCACTATTTTAAAATAAATCTCCCTCTTTCTGTCTCTCTCTCTGCATATACATTTATTGTATATGTATTATGTATGTGCATATTATATATGTATTGTGTAATACGTAGAGACAGAAAGAGAGAGAGTTTATTTATTGGTTCTGGGTTCTGTTTCTTTAGAGAACCCTGACTGATCCATGAGCTAATATTACTTACATCAAATCATATACAAAATTATAAAATAATAAAATGTTGTGCAGCTACGTAGTAGATGGTACATAGCGGCATTCAGGTCTATAATCCATATTAAGTAAAATATACTGATGAAGAACCAAGGACCAATTGTCCATTATTTTTACAATCTTTACTGAATGAAAATTAACATAATATTATCCTTCCAGGACTTATTGCTAAAAAAATAAAATGGTAGGGAAACTTGGGTAGCTCAGTTGATTATGTGTCCAACTCTTGATTTTGGCTCCCGTTATGATCTCAAGGTCGTGAGATCAAGCCCTGCATCAGACTCCATGCTCCATGAGGCACCTGCTTGAGATTCTTTCTCTTCCTCTCCCTCTTCTCTCTCTCTTCTCCAAATAAAAAAATAAATAAATCCTTAAAAATAAATAAATAAAACTAAAATGAATTTTAAAATGGAGGTGCTGTTGGTAAGTTATATACACTGAAAGAGAGTTATAAATTCTATTTAACATTGAAAATTATCTAATTATTTATGTCTCTTTATATTTATGTCTCTTTATAAGACACAAAGTAAACACAAAGTAAAAGTGGTCAATTACAGTTATAATACTGTCCTCTATTTCTTGCACATTTACTTCTTTGTGAAGGTGTTCTCAAATCCCTCTTTCAGAAGCAAGTAGAGCGCAAATTATAAACAGCTTTGCCACATCCACTGTGAGAATGAAGACCATTCTCAGCAATCAGACTGTCGACATTCCAGAAAGTGTCGACATCACTCTGAAGGGACACTGCTATTGTGAAAAATCCCAGAGGAACCCTGAGAAGAGACTTCAATCACATCAATGTAGAACTCTGTCTCCTTGGAAAGAAATAGAAGAGGCTCTGAGTTGACAAGTGATGGGAAACAGAAAAGAACTAGCTACTGTCTGCACTGTCTGTAGTTATATATAGAACATGGTCAAGGGCATTACACTGGGCTTCCATTACAAGATGAGGTCTGTGGAGGCTTACATTGTTATTCAGGAGAATGGTTCTCTTGTGGAAATCTGAAATTTCTTGGGTGAAAAATACATCCATCCACAGGGTTTGGATGAGACCAGGTATCGCTTGTTCAGTAACTCAGGAAAGGTGATTTAATTCTTGAAGGAAATTACACTGAACTTGTATCAAACTCAGCTGCTTTGATTCAGTAAGCCACAACAGTTAAAAACAAGGAGAACAGTCTGGCAGGTTGATGAATAAGATCTAAGTTGTTCAGCTACAGAAACAGAAAGATGCCGAATGATTTTTCAGACGAATTTGTGGTATTTTAAAGATGCAATAAAAGCTGTATTGATCTGATTTTTTAAAAGCAAATCATAAATAAATATAAGAACAACCACAATGAAGACAGATGGGGCAAACACACAAAATGCCATATGTTGCACCTTTGCTCGGGTGGCCCTCCTCAGAACCCATACTGGCCCTGTAACATGCCTGCATGAAATAACTGCACAGGTTTGAATACCAAGCAAAAAGAAAAAGAAATTATCATTAACTGCAGATTTAACATCGGAAGTAAAGACAGCTGCCTTCTCTAAACTGTGAGACCCAAAATGAACCACAGGTATTGGGCCATCACCGCTGACTAGGGAAGAGTGACCAACAGTATTTGATTTCATGAAACTTGCCTGTCCCTGGTCAGAGCCATTCTTCATTCACATATCACAGAACATCTTATTAAGCCAACTTTGGTCCTTATGTCACAAAAACTCCAACAAATACAACTACCTACTGTGATCTGTGAAGAATTAAAACAGGTTTCCAGAAGAATCCAACTGATACTCTTCTCCAGAAATCATTGGGATTATCTTTCATCCCCCAAGTGCATTGGGTAAATAAAAGGTTGAGATCTTTCCAGTTTTCAATTCACCCTGATTTGAGCTACTGCTAAAAACTGCCCTGAGAGTAAGTCCTTGCCTTATCTTGTATATATGTCTTTTGATGATATCCCTGATCATCTAAAAAGAGGTGTAGTTATTGAAAACCATCTTTTAAAATAATCTTTGCATGGTGCTCGAGCCCCTCTATCTGCGAGGACTTAGCCCAGCCTTTCCCTAAAAGGTTCAGATTCAGTGGCTGGTCCCCAGCCATGGAACGTGGTCTTCTGAACTGTTATCTTACAACTGCAACTAGACCCAAGGTTACAGAAGAGGAAATCAGATCGCCACATCTTTGTGGTTCAGGAGCCAGGCGGTGGTTCCATGCCTTCGATGAAAGGAATCGAGACACTTTGCACAGAAATCTCCTCTGCCGGATGACTTTTGCACTGCATCCCAGAATGCTCATTTTAAACTCAAAGAGCAGAGGTGGCATTTGTAAAGGGATGATGCTCCTCAAACCTGTAACACAGGCCTTATAATGACACCAGACTGCTTCTGGCACCGTCAAAGGAAAGCAAATTCCTGCTTCTTCCCTCTGACCGGCTGGTTGTCCTTGATCAAAAATTACCTTCACTGCCCATCATGTTGTTAGTGGTTAAAACTCACCATTTAAATTGTAAGCCGCAAAATCTAAACGGAACTGCATGTGTGATCTTTGTCACCTCATTTTCATGAATGGAAAAGAATATTCTGACACAAAAATTGCATACTTAATTCTAGCTCACCCTCTCTGCTGACCTCCATCCCACACTGCCTTGGGTTTATTTCCTCATCCATCAGTGGGTCAAAGTAATTTCTGCTGTATTCATTTCCTGTGGAAAGTACATGAAGTAAGGGTCAGCGATTATTAGAAGCACATGAACCGAAATGTTAATTTTGAAATCGACACCAGCACAGAAGGGCCATTTTGGCTACTTTATAAGCTTAATTTTTGTGCAAGTACTTCCAGGCCCTCCCTTTTTTGTAATTATCATCTTGCAAAAGGTCAGAAAAGGTAATTCAAGAAACAAGTTCACGCTATCTTTCGGTTGCTAAAAAATTAATGAGAAAATGATCCAATGTAGACTTTAGAAGAGTCATAACAACAACAACAACAACAAAAAAGCTTAAGTAAAATTATGTCGAGGGTATACTCAAGAAACAGACATTGTTGGATTATAATGATGTTTAGGGCTCACTGATCTTTTTTTTTTTTTACCCGCGTGTTATTATCGCTCCCCCCACGTCTATTGTGTTGTTTCCAGAATTCTGTCGTCGACTTAGTAGTGTCTTTTTTGTTTTAATTTTTATTTATTTATGATAGTCACAGAGAGAGAGAGAGAGGCAGAGACACAGGCAGAGGGAGAAGCAGGCTCCATGCACTGGGAGCCCGATGTGGGATTCGATCCCGGGTCTCCAGGATCACGCCCTGGGCCAAAGGCCGGCGCCAAACCGCTGCGCCACCCAGGGATCCCTTAGTAGTGTCTTAATTATGAGAAACTGTAAGCAAAATTTCCATGTTGACAGTTGGATAAAAAGAAAGAGGGGGAAAGTGACAAAGAAAGAGAGAAAGAGGGGAAAGAGGAAGGAAGGGAGGGAGAGAGAAGGAGGACAGGAGACAAAGAACAAGAAAAGAAAGCGAGAGGGGGTCCTGCTTGCAGATCTTTTCTGCTCTGTCAACTTAAGTTACATGAATGGAAGATACAAATGATCCCGTCAGAAATTTTCTTCAATACACATCCACGATCCCAACAAACAATCCCCAAATCCTCACTTTGCATCTCTCACTTACCTTTGTCCTTGTCTCCACAATCAAAATGTAGCATCGAATAGGACCCTGTAATAGAGAAAAGGGTCTGTTATCAATTTTCCAAATCTAGTCTCATACTTCCTGCAGCCTGAAATGTATATGTCTGTTGCCAGCAATTTGCATTCAGGAAAATATAAGCTACTCTGACGATAATTCGAGTTGCCTCAAACGCTGCAAAAGAAATAAAGCATCCGAGACCGGAAACAACAATAACATTGCAAGTACTGTTCTCAGGAAAGGGTTAACGTACACCAGGTATACTGTGTGATACCCCCTAGTATATTTGATGTAGGATCAAAAATAATCCAAACAGCAGCTCCTTTTCCAAGACTAAATGGAATTTTGATATGAACCGAGGTTTAATTTATATTTCTGGACTGGCACATTTTTGCTGTCAGGCTCTGTTCTATCAACGTAGTAAGTACAAGAACTGAAAATCTGCTTTTCCTTGAGGTCTCAATAAAGAAAAAAATAAATGAGTTTCATTTTTGTTACTTTATCTGTCAACAACTACTAGGCTGGTATGAATCTTGGCAGTATGTAATCAAAGTCTTATGTACTGCAATAACACAGCCATTCTACTTCATTCATGTAATTGTTTTGGGTTTTTTTTTTTTTCCTCTCTACCACAAAGCATGGTGCCACGGTAAGCGCACTCTTCCATATGCTAGCAAAATAATTCGCCTATATTAAAGCAAAAGTGGCCGTGCATTTCTTATGATTATCACATACCAGCAGCAGTCAACGATGGGAACCCAGATCTTGCCTACCCCCCCCCCCACTTCAAGCCTAGATTCTTTGTCTACTGAAATGTTAGTAATACCGAGTTAATCCAGACCTTGGAGAAAGAAACAGTGAAGTCAAAAGGAGCCAAAAGTCTGGAGAAGTTTATTTGGTCTGTAGGTTCTCAGGCCATTTGCATCCCTGTTGTCAGCTGAGAAATGAGGGTCCCGCCCAGCTGTGCAAGAAGGAGGCCTGAGCACAGGGAGCCCCTAGGCCCCACATCACCCCCCAGGGCTCCTTGCTTCCACGAGCGACTGGGAGATGGGCCCCCAGAGGTCTACGTATGGTTTCGACATCTATGCAAATCCTTCCTCCCACATGCAGTCAGGCTGAGGCACACATGTAAGTTATAAATGCCACTGCTGGGGTGATTTATGTTGTGCTTCACTTTCTGGAATATGGCAAATAGCATTTCTACAGGTAAGGCTTATGAGGAGTCTTTACAAAGAGGCAATCCACTGATTCCCTTTAAGCATCCCTCAAAGCTACATTGTATCATATCATATCATATCATCATAGCATATATCATATCATATCATATATAATTAACATATTTTATTAATTCACATTTTTCAATAATTCACATTTTTATAATTCTATATTTTTCAATAATTTGTATATTTTATGTGACTCATTTATTTTTACAGCTTATGTATTTTCCACTATATTTCACATTATGTTGTGCATTGTTTTACATGTATATTATACTTGTTTATTGTCTGTCTTCCCCACACACAAAAAATCAAAAACTAAAACAAATTTTTTGTTTGTTTTTTTTTTTAATTCACGTAAAAGTTCTCCATGAGGACAATGACATTATCTCCTTGTTTACTCCCTCAGTGGCTAGAAGTGTGCCTGGCACACAGAGGTACTCATTATATGGGAATTCATTTGTTAAATAAACCTCTCTTGGAAACCTAATGCAATACCCAAATTCTTTCCTTGTCTAGATGTTCTATCTTGATGAAATGAGCAATTTTTTTTTGCTCCCACCCCTTTATTCATCTCTTCCTTTCTACTCCCCATTCCTTCTCTTTTCTTTCTAGACCCCCTTCCCTTTGCTTTTTTAACTGAGTGCTTTCTAGGAGCCAAACATCATGTCTGGATTTCAAAAATGAACAAATGAAACACCATTGGCCCCAGGCTTCAGGGCACAGGGAGCCCAGAGAACAGCGAAAGGAAGCAAAAGCAGTCTGGTAAGATTTCATACTGCGGTAAAGGATGGAGTTCTGTTCATAGCAGGAGCATCTAGCCCACGCTGCGGATTTCAGAGAAGACTCCCTGGAGAAACTGCTATCTGAAGTAAATTTTGAAACGTCCTCACTAGTCCCATAATTGAGTTTAACTCGTGTGTTTTGGTTTTTAAGATTTTATTTATTTATTTGAGAGACAGAGACAGAGAAGCAAAGGAGAAAAAGAGAAAGACAAGCTGACTCTGTGGGAAGCTCAGAGCCCAACCCAAGGCTAGATCCCACCACCCTGAGACCCGGCCCTGAGCTGAAATCAAGAGTTCAACGCTTAACTGAGCCACCCAGGCGCCCCTAACTCATGTTTGTGTACAAATTATTAAGTTGTACAGTGTCACTTTATGCTGGTATGATGTTCCGTATCTACTCATTTGACCAGTGTTTTGTTTAGTAGGTGCCTATTATGTCAATATGTCAGCGAAAGAATGCTCAAAAATCCTTCCCTTCACAGAGCTTACATTCTGAGAATAGAAGAATAAAATCAAATGAATATGTATACTTTACAGGGTTTTTTTTGGATAGTGATTTGTAACATGGGAAAAAAATAAGAGCCAGATAAAGATGATTAGGCCACCAAGGAGGAGTAGGGGTCACATCTCTTAGATATGACTTTGTTTCAAACTAAGAATGAGAACTCAGGATTAAATCACTATATTCTCAAGACTATGGAGATAGTAAAACTATAATGTTTATGATAATTTCAAGTACTTATAATTTATATATATTTTTATAATTATGCATAATTTATTTATAAGTAATTATAATACTTAAAATCTATTATTTGTAACTTACAATTTTGCCCATTTCTTGCTTTAACATAAATCAGCCTATGAGTCAGAAAAGAATGTACTCTAAAAAAAAGAAAAAAGAATCTACTCTAAAATATACAAACAATTCCTCCATTTTATTGGTGTATCTTGCCCCGATAAACCAATAACTTAAATACAGTAAGCAGAGTTTAAGACAGTAAGGCACATGGAGCCTATTACAAATTTTGTAACAAAAGATTTCATCTTAACACTAGCCCCTTTGCTCATGTTTCATTGGATAGTGTCAGGATTTAATAGAGTGGGATGGTTTCAGAATAAGACGTCTATTACCAGAAGGTAGGTTACTAATAGGATAAATTTCTGCAAGTGCCCTAATCATTCAGAATATGCTTTTGGATATATCTACAATCATCTCTCAGGAAAATTAATAGACCCACTGAGAAATTCAAAGTAGGGCACTTAGCTATGTACATACAACAGATTTTAATTTGGCTGATATTTAACTGTTTGTTATATTCAGATGAGTAATCTGACAATTGCATATGCAAATATATATACATTAAAGTATGGCTCTCCATCGAAGCAATTGGATGCGATACATAAATTAACAAATCAATATATTGGCCTTGTAGATACTCTAGATACTCTTATTTTTATTTCCAACTTCCTAGAATTGGCTGTTCTATGTTTGGAATCAGCATCAGCTCATGTATTTCTTGGGCTATTTTTTACTGAACTGGGGGAAGAAAACACATGTACTTACTTCTGCCCTTCCACACATATCAGGTTCTCCTATCATTTAACTCAGAGCAGCACAGAATGTAATCAGGGCTTTTACTTAAATTACACCGAACATGAACTTTGGTCAGGAAATCCTCCAGTGTGCACCCATGCAGTTCCTTGGGGGCTGTAAGAGCGAGAACGAAATTGCCCACTAGAGGAAGGTTAGTGTGAATCATGGAAGTGTCTTGGCTCAACAAGGCAATCACTTCCTTTCAAATCAGCTATGTTCGCTCCAGAGGAAGAAAATCTGAATGCATCTATCTGTTCCTTGGGAGGTTTTTATTGACTCCATTCTTGTCCTCTTCCTGTGAATCCACCTGCTTCAGCTCAGCCTTTTATCACCAATCATCATGCTGTCTGTAATATACTACAAGTTAAGTAAGTTAAATAAACACAAGGCTTGCTTTAGTGTAAACTAAATAGCTAACTAAACAATTTAC